GGTCAGAAGAAATCAAAACCGTGAAGATTTTTCTTGAGTTCTAAAGACAGTGAACCCCAGTGATTAATAAACACTTTCAAATCATTAGACAAGAGGTTGACCATAAGGAACTGTGGAGGGGGTGATGTAGAACTACTGTGCTACTGTATATATATATATATATATATATTTTTGTAATACCATGTTAAATACAGGGCAATATTTCCTGATATACCGGGCTATCTTGTGGCACACAGGGAAATATTTTCTGATATACTGGGCAATATCTTATGACACACTCAGAAATATTTTCTGATATACTGGGCAATATCTTGTGACACACAGGGACATATTTTCTGATATACCGGGCAATATCTTGTGACACACAGGGAAATAATTTCTGATATACCAAGCAATACCTTGTGACATACAGGAACATATTTTCTGCTATACTGGGCAATATCTTGGTGACATACAGGGAAATATTTTCTGATATACTGGGCAATATCTTGTGACACACTGAGAAATATTTTCTGATATACTGGGCAATATCTTGGTGACACACAGGGACATATTTTCTGATATAGTGGGCAATATCTTGTGACACACAGGGAAATATTTTCTAATATACCAGGCAATATCTTGTGACACACAGGGACATATTTTCTGATATACTGAGCAATATCTTGTGACAAACAGGGAAATATTTTCTGATATACCAGGCAATATCTTGTGACACACAGGGAAATAATTTCTGATATACCAAGCAATACCTTGTGACATACAGGAACATATTTTCTGATATACTGGGCAATATCTTGTGACATACAGGGACATATTTTCTGATATACCGAGCAATATCTTGTAACATACAGGGAAATATTTTCTGATATACTGAGCAATATCTTGTGACATACAGAGACATATTTTCTGATATACTGGCAATATCTTGTAACATACAGGGAAATATTTTCTGCTATACTGGGCAATATCTTGTGACACACAGGGAAATATTTTCTGATATACCGGGCAATATCTTGTGACACACAGGGACATATTTTCTGATATACTGGGCAATATCTTGTGACACACTGAGAAATATTTTCTGATATACTGGGCAATATCTTGGTGACACACAGGGAAATATTTTCTGATATAGTGGGCAATATCTTATGACACACAGGGAAATATTTTCTGATATACCAGGCAATATCTTGTGACACACAGGGACATATTTTCTGATATACTGAGCAATATCTTGTGACAAACAGGGCAATATTTTCTGATATACCGGGCAATATCTTGTGACACACAGGGCAATATTTTCCGATATACCTGGGAAATATCTTGTGATATACCAGGCTGGACATCACTTTATTGCAAACCAACCTTCTTTCATTTTGCATTGACTATCTGAGTTTGGTGGTAACCAACAGTAACCATGTCGTTTCCCTGGCGACCAATATTTTGGAGCAAGATATTCTATAAAATCTTCCATCAGTATAACTTTTTGACTTTTTTCTAATTCTTCAAACTTAAAAAAATCACTGTAAGGCACATTTTTCTGTGGTATAAACAGAGAAAATAAACAAATTTTGTTTTGATGAAAACCAAAACATGGCAGTACAATTAATAGAAACAATAATTCAAAGGCAATACTACTAATGTAACACTACTTTTATGGCAATACTACTAATGTAACAATACTTTTATAACAATACCACTAATGTAACCCTACTTTTATGGCAATACCACTAATGTAACACTACTTTTATGGCAATACTACTAATGTAACAATACTTTTATAGCAATACCACTAATGTAACACTACTTTTATGGCAATACCACTAATGTAACACTACGCATTGACGCTGCAGTTCGGAGTCTTCTACACCGATCTGACGCATATCGCGCAAGGTGTGCCGGGAGTTTGTTAGAAATTTCGAACGTTTCGAAGTCAATCGTCGATTGGCACGTATTTTACGGATATATTTAATCGTTCCAGAGACCTGTTTACTAAATAATGATAAATGAAACTTAGAAAACTTGTAAGAACAAACTGGGCCCAAATTGCGCAAATTGCAATAAGTTTACACTGCTAGAGTCTGGTTCGGACGGAGTTCTACGCGTGATTTTATTGCGCTCAAGGACGTTCTATTTTCGAACTAGTTGAAACCGGAAATAACGCAACTACTTTCGAACTTCAAACACAAATTTGATTATCGTTTTTATGTGTTAGTTTCTGTTTCAAAGATTGAATTATGTATGACAATAATATTTCACTCTATAAACAATATTTCACTAAAATATGTGATTCAAAGGCAACCCAAATTGTTAAAAGCAATATCAAGTTCCGCGTATGATACTGTTGTAAAGAGGCAGCGGAGCGGAATTTTAGCCAAAATCGGCTAGTAAGGCGTCATATGACACAGGTTTGTGCTGGGACAGTGCTTCCGGTGACGACACAACGAAC